TTTAGAGTTGCGTGAAAAGGACCAGAGAGGGTCACCTTAGGTAGTACATCTTCCTTTTATAATAGATCTAAAGGGCAGATAGGTAACTTTGGCCGAGTCCAGCTAGTGGCCCAGACATCACCTACTTCACAGGTATTGGCCGCTAAAAGGAGTGAGTTAGCCATGTATTCAACATGGGGATGATAGCATGTGCTTAGTGCTAATTGGATCTGATGAGTTGTATAGACTATAAGGGATAGAGTAATAATCTCTGATAGAGTATTTAAGGTAAGGGCAATTGTATGATCGAAAAATTAAAATTGATTGATTCTTGTTTTAAAAAATGGGTTCGATCACTTAGTACGAATCCCGTACAATCACTCACTCTCTCGATTACAGAGGAAGAGAAGATTAATTTGACTTATCTTTTGTTTAAAAGTGGGTTCTTTGTGGCGAAAGGATGCTTCTCTCGATGCTCAAACCGAGATTGTTTCCCGTTGACGATCAGATCAAGATCGTTTCAACTCGAGAGGAGAATCAGAAATTATTGATGGCTTAAATTATTAGAACCGAGGTTCGGATCTCAATCTTGAATGCCAAAGCTCTGCCTCCTGTGCTCCTCGTCTGCCCCTCCAAAGTCACATCTTTATAGCTGATTGTGGCTATTTATAGAGTTTCAGCATGTAACCGACGTGCTAAAATTGTGGGTAGAGGGCATAACTGATGCGCTAAAATCGTGGAGTCGTGGCGTAACTGACTCCTTGGATTTAGCCCACATTGCTGACTGGGTCTTCGGAGCTGTTATAGCTGGATCTCCTGCGGACGACGAGCCTTGTTGCATGGCGAGGTTCATCTGATTGTACGAGCCTCAATATGCAGCGAGGTTTGTCTTCTAAGGCCAACTTTACAGTATAGCGAACTCTGTTTTCAATGACATCATCTGACGAGCTTCGTATTCACCAACGAACTTCGTCTTCGATAGCAGAGTCCAACTGCGTAGCAAGTATTGTGAATTTTCTTTTGACGAGCCTCATCTTCACTAATGAGATTTATGTTTGGTGATGAGTTCTAAACCTCATATCCAATAGCGAGCTTCGAACCTCGTTTCCAATGACGAGCTTCGAACCTCGTTTCCAATGATGAGCTTCATCTTCCAGAGTAGCTTTGTCCACAGTGATGAACTTTGATGTCGAGCCTCGTTGCGTGGTGAACCTCGTCTTTTGATATTGAGCCTCGCTGCATGGCAAACCTCGTAGGCGAAGCTGTTAGGCGAGCTTCAATCAGTTCAGGCGAGCTAAGTTGTCAGGCGAACTTAGCATTACAGGCGAACTTCAATGTTCAGGCAAAGTTTAGTCTTGCAGGCGGACTTAGCATTGCAGGCAAACTTCAATGATCATGCAAAGTCCAGTCTTGCAGGCGGATTTCAGAACATGCTGTGAAGAACGGGTCATAACTTTCAAACCGTTAGTCAGAATTGGACGAATTAAATATGAAAATTAACTATCTCGACGAGACGGAGCCGACCAAACCTACCCCAAAGGTTTTGGTTTGCTCCTGTCCGTTTCGTCAAATTCTTTATGGTTTTTATCAATTTTGAGCTTCTTTGCTAGATATTAAGGCAATTTTTATTGCCTACAGCAGTCGGCCATCGACGGGAGGTTCGAGGGCATACCGCCTCTTTGCTCATCTAATTGAGGGCCGACAAACACCGTCTTTCTAGTCGGCCACGCGAGTTGTTGGCCTGACATAGTAGACCGAGCGCGAGTGCTTGTAGGATCGATCTGTTGTGCTCAGCGGAAATTTCGGCAGCACCTCTGGTGCGCAAGGTGCACAACAAGAGATTAGATCACAATGAAATTCTCGTTTCTCAAAGGAAACAAGAACCAAAAGCCATATATCTCATCAAAGTGAGATATCAGCTCTTCCTCTCGTCAGCTCTAGGACTGCGCGTCGAGGGATCCTACAAGCTATTACAAATCACGACAAGAACACAAATTTTACGTGGTTCGGCCAATCACCTACGTCCACGGGGCAAGGAGGGGGAGATCTACTATTAGAGGGAGAGATACAACTAGGGTTTACAATCACACAATTAAAACCCTCAAACAAATACTCTCAAACCTCTCACAAAAGGACATCAGCCAAATACCCAAAGAACAATTACCAAAACCCAAAGGACAACAGTCTGTGTTTGCCCTCTGCAGCAACGAAACCCTCTTTTACCCAAAAGTCGGCTCCTTGCACTGCTCCTAGTGCAGCCGCCTGCCTATTTCTTCTTTTCCCCAACTTCTGTTCTTGCTCACCGGTTTTTAGCCTGTAGCCACAAAAACAAACCTTGCACAAATTCCGAAACCCTAGAAAATAACCTTTTATAGGCTGCAAGCGGGTGGGCCAAGTTCACATGCTTTATTCACGTGCTTTATCTTCTCACGCGGAAAAGATTGGCAGAGCAAAAGGGCACACGTTTTGTGGCCCCCACTCACACGATCTGGTGGGTGGGTCGATAAGTACCGCCTTTTTAGTCAGTCACGCAAGTTGTCGACCTATCGGGTCGGCTGCAAAGGCAGCTCGAGTTGGCTGGACTCCGATCATGTTTGATTAGGCATGGAACGGGACACGTGTTGGCTCTAGAATGTTGATTAACACTTAGTGATTTGTTGTCATAACATAAACTATTTGAAGTTTCTAGAATTTCAGTATACTGTTTGTAGTTTTAAAAATATTTAGGGTTTTTTGTTAATTTTAAAAATTTAGGGTGTTTTTCAAAACTTTTACGGTGTTTTCTCCAAATTTTAAGTTTGGTCGGGGTATGTTTGAATGTTTTGAAAATTTTAGTGCTTTTTTAAGTTCTAAATATTTCATAAGTTTTTTGTGATTTTTTATTGAGTTTTACATTATTGATGTTGTTTTTATAATTTGATGACTACTTAGGGTTTGTTTCCAATTTTTTGCTTTACGAAAGACCTTGTCAATTTGTAGGTTTAAGGTGTTTCTTGTAAGTTTTAAAACTTTTTAGGGGCTTTTGCAATTTCACATGTTTAAATAAACAATTCATCTTTTCACCACTTTTTCTCATACTCCCTAACTTAGTTAAAAATTTCCCCTTATATGGGGTTAAACTTTATCCTTAGAAAAGCTTTAGAAGGACAACATGGATAAAGATAAGATAATATTTAATAGGCTAATTTAACCCCCTCTATCCATGTGCCAAACAAGCCCAAGTAATCCTCCTTTCATCGTTAAAGTGGCACTTTTTAACACCAATCCTCAACTAAATGAAGGGATAAAATACAACTTGGGAATATGTGCTGGCATAAAAAGAGTTACGATGGATGAGCTTCAAATCAAAGCTCACAAATGTAAATGAAGAAATAACGATGGATGAGAAGCTCACAAAGGTACCCCCCCACCCCACCAAAAAAAAAAATTAATAATAACAAAATTGCAACTAAAATTCATAAAAAGACAATTAAAATGACAATTGTTTAACAGAAGAGAGTCTAGCATAGTTGGTAAGCTGTCATTGAGTAGTATTCTAAGGTCTCAAGTTCAACTCTTCTAAAGAGCACTCATAAGAATTTAATTTCCTGGAATAATATGAAGGATCATGGGGAAGTTATCTTGTTAAACCCCAAAACAAAAGGTAAACAATTGCTAAAATAAAACAAAAGAATTATAACTGTAGTTACTTTTTACAAATGACAATTCAGTTGTAAATAAATATTTTTTTTAAACGTGTGAGTAGTACTCTACGGTCTTAGTTTGACTCTCCGGTCTTAGGTTAGACTCTCCTAGAAAGCACCCATATAAAATTAATTTCTTAGAATAGTCCGAAGGATCATATGGGGAAGTTCCCTCGTTTAACCCCAAAACAAAAGGTAATTGTTTACAATTGCAATTGAAATAAAACAAAACAATTATAACTGTGGTTACTTTTTACAAATGTTAACAAAAATTTTTCCTAGCATGTTTGGCAACTTTGGATTATAATCTACTTATATTATAATCTTAATCTACTTAGATAATAATCCATAAACCATGCGGATTATAATCCACAGTATTTGGTAAATGTAGTGGATTATGATCCATTTCCATTAATCAAGTGCTCAGCAAATGGATAAATTATAATCCATCATTATTGTCAAAATGACCAAAATAGACATGGCTTATAATCCACAAATAAGGACATAACTTAAAATTTTGTGAGATGGTGCGAGGTATTTGTGTCTTTTATTTGGTCAAACCTTGTAGCTTATATAATCCACCAAGAACTAAGCTAAGTTACCCTAGCTTATTTTTTGGTGGCTTATAAGTCAATATAAGTCATTTACAAACATCTCAACAAGACATTTTAAGCTGAAAAAAACTTTGACCATTTGCCGAACACGCTCCAAGATCATTTAACAGGGCCAACCGTATAACTAGACTGTGGACCACTTTGCATTTGTTGCTGGCATGATGGTGTCATGAGTTTGTTAACAAAATCATAGTGGAGAGATACTGGACCAAACTGAGCAAAGGAGAACCCAATCTGATACTGACGCTCGTAAGGAATCAAAATGACAAGAGAGATGATATTACCAAATCTCTTACATTTATTATAGCTCAACGGACATCCATAGGGAATTATACAGCTACAATTGTACCAATCTTCAGGCATACTATAGTAAAAAAAAATTAATCAAATGTATAAAACAAAACATGATGCTTTGAACCAGGTTCTCCTCATAAATGAACCTAATGTTGAAGCCCTTAACTAGCTCCTAAGTAAATAAAACCTGACATTGTTTTTTAAATTCAGTTGTAAGTTCTACAGGGACTGCAAATGATGCATTCTGCAGTACACACCTCATCTTCCTTTGCTCCATGCAGGTGAAACATTTGCAGAGATCAAGTTCATATTCACATATACAAACTACATATAAACCATTTCCAGGCAATAAAATCAATTCCCTCTACATAAATCTCAATTTCCTCTATAGTATTAATCTAGTGTAGATACATAAAAAATATAGTACTGCTGAAACCAAAAGATGTCTGGTGCAATTCTTCATTCAATTCTTCATTCTACCGACAATAGATTTTTAACATCATAGAACAACAAAATTCTAAGTCTAAACTGGAAGATATTGTTCATGTAATAAAATGTGCCTCACCACCAAGCTTAACTTGGGATATGTACCAAACAACAAAACGGAATTAATAACCAAGAACAGAAACTATCCCAGATACAGAGAACTGTCGTCATGTTGTGCATCTCTATCAGCCAAATTTGGTGTCACTGAAGCCCCTCCAACCAACTTTGTTGGGTTTTTATTGGTCTTATGCTCTTTGTTCAACATATGACCCAGAAATACTAGAAGTTCCAAGAAGGGTAACCTGCAGGATTCAGGTGATGAATGTTAGTAGGTTTACTATGAAAGTCTCCAAGGAAGGTGCAAGCGAGATGCACTCCAGCTGCTTTGTATAAAGGGTTAATTGCATACAGACCCCCTGTAGTATCGCTGTTTCGAACTTATTACGCCTATAGTTTCATTGTTGTAGATACACCCCTGGGTTTAAATTTTTTTGACTCTTTTATCCTCAAGATTGACCCACTAGTTTCACCCTAGGGCAATATTTGCCACAATTTCAACTAGGACAAAAGTGTCAAAGAAATTTAACCCCTGGAGGGTCTATCTGCAACAATGAAACTACAGGGGTAGTAAGTTCAAACCAACAATACTACATGGGTCTATGTCATAATAACTATCCTCATATAGACACACTAATTTCACCCTAGGGCAATATCTGCCACAATTTCACCCAGGATGTATAAGTGTCAAAA